TACTTCCATTCATTTACCTATAAAAGCCTCGAATTTTTCTTTATAGCTGAGTAATATTCCATTGTATAAAAATACCATATCTTTTTTATCCATTCTTCAGCTGGTGGACATTTGGGTTGTTTCCAAGATTTAGCTATGACAAATTGTGGTGCTTTAAATGTGGGGGCATATATATCACTGTGGTATGATGTTTTTAATTCTGCTGGGAAGATACCCAGAAGGGGAAGAGCTGGGTCAAATAGGACCTCTAATCCCTCTTTCTTAAGGAATCTTCACACTGATTTCCATAGTGGTTGTAGCAGTCTATGGTCTACATCTCACCAACAGTGGAAAAGTGTTCCTTTATCTCCACAGACCTGCCACCGTTTGTTACTGTTTGATTCCTTGATGGTAGCCATCCTTTCTGTGGTGAGGGAAGAAGGGAGCATCTCTCCTTGCAGGTGTTCTTTAGAATCTCATACCTTTTCCAGGCACACAAGTTTATAGGGTGCATAGTGTTCTCAATGGGAAGCTGAATAGGATGTTAAAGTGCAATACACCCCTTCTTCTACTTCTCCAGAAAGAACCGCATATCTTGCAAAAACTAGTCACTTGGGTTTAAAATGGCACAGTGAAAACTGACGGCAAAAGACAGCTTCATGAGGACCTGAAATTGAGACAGGTGGAAAAAAAAATCTTGGTGAAGAAAGAAAGCAGATCTTCAAGCATTGAGATGGAAATGATAAGAAAACCAGAAACTACAGACAAGATGGAGAAATTGAATACATGCAGAGAAAATAACAAAACAAGCGAAAGCACTTATCCCTGGCTCCAAGGGAATGGGATGGGTTTCCATTAACACAAGATAAGCCCCAATAGGATCAACTACTCAAGGGAGAAACAATAGACTGGGTGACACTCATAGACCCAAGAAAAGCACATGGTTATTGTAAAATGGCAAAGCAACATGGAGATTTCCTGTGACAGTGACTCCTTCCACATAGCAAGCTAGTGTTAGAAAGGAAATTATGTATATGGAGTCAAACCATTATTATTTGCAGATAACATTATCTTCCAAATAGAAGGGCAACAATTCCAGCAAAAGACTCGTATAGTTCATAACTACATTCAGTAGTGTAACAGGATACAAATACAAACAAATACAAACACAAGAAAATCAGTAGAATTCCTGCACAACAATTATGAACTCATCTAGAAAGAAATTAGGAAAATGACACTATTTACAATAGCATCAAGATAAATTAAATCCTAAGAATGAACCTAACAAAGGATGTGGAAGACTTCTATAATGAAAATTATAGTACTTTGAAAAAGGAGATGAAAGAAGAAACTGGAAAGATGTCCCTTGTTCCTAGATAGGCAAAACCAATATTGTCAAAGTGGCCATACTTTCAAAACTGACATATAGATTTAATGAAATCCCAACCTAGATACCAACAGTATTCTGAAAAAAACTATAAAAAGATCAAAATTCCTACTGAACCAGAAGAGACCCATAATATCAAAAGAAATATAGGCAACAAGTACAAAGTAGGAGGAATTGCAACCCTGAATTTCAAGTTATATTACAAATCAACAGCGATAAACGCATCATGTTCCTGTCACAAAAACATCCATCTGGATCAATGGAATAGAATAGGGGATGTAGAAACAACTCCAGGCACATTCAGCCACTGAATTTTTGACAAAGGGGCCAAAAACATGGTGGAAGAATAATAGCCTGTTTAACATATGGTGCTGGGAAAGCTGGCTATCCACATGTAGAAGATTGAGTCTAGACCCATATCTTTTACCATGCGAGTAACTAATGTCAAGATAGATCAAAGGTATAAATATTAAAATAGAAACACAACGCTAAATTAGGTAAAATTCTTGAAGATATAGGTGCAGGCAAGGACCTTCTGAACAGAACCTCTGTTGGACAAATAATATCAAGAATCAGCAAATGGGATCATGTAAAATTAAAAGGCTTTTGCACACCAAATAAAACAACAAACAGAATGAAGAGATAACCTAGAGACATTTTGCCAGCTGCTTCAGAGGACAAATACCTAGGCTATATAAAGAGCTCAAAATAATTAGATCCTGCCAGTGAAAGACTCAATCAAAAAATGAGCAGCTAAAATGAATAGATACTTCTCAGAAGAAGTGCAAATGGCTAATAAATACATAAAAATGTTTAATATCTCTTGTCATTATAGAAATGTGAGTTAAAACAGCATTGAGATTCTATCTTACTCCAGAAAGAATACCTACTGTAAAGAAATCAATAATAACAAATATCAGTGAAGCTGTGGAGAAAAAGGGGTACTTCTATATTGTTAGTGGGAATTCAAACTAGAACAATCATTATGGAAATCAGAATGGAGATTCCTCAGAAAGAAAGAAAGAAAAAAAGAAAGAAAGAAAGAAAGAAAGAAAAGCAAGAGAGAAAGAAAATTAGAAATTCCATTCAACCAAGCTATTCTTCTTCTAGGTATCTTCCCCAAAGTGTTAAAGACAGCATATCACAATGATGTATGCATACACATGATTATAGCAGAATAACTCACAACAGGAAAATTTTGGAAGTGGCCTATATGTCCATCAAGAGATGAATGGGTAAAGAAAAGGTGGTATTTATATACAATTCAGTACTTCTCTGCCATAAAAAGATAAGTTTCATCTGTAGGAAAACGAATGCACTTTGAGACCACAATATTAAGTGCAATAAATGAGGAATACAAGCTTATATAACACATGGTCTCTTACATGAGAAAGCCCCAAAATATAAGTTAAAGAGCAAAGCAAAAGACAGATAGTGTGACAGAGGAAAATAGATCTTTTGCAAATGAGAAGGGAGCCAAGATATGGAAGGAAGGAGAGTGAGGGCAGGAGAAGGGGAAGTAAAAAGAATTAAGATGTGTTATATACATGTACTAACTCCCCATGCGGAACGCGATCATTGTGTAAGCAAACATGAACTAATAGAAATAAAAATTAAGTCAAACAAAAAAACAAAGTAACTTATAAAAAGTAAAACAGCAACAACAACTACTGCTACTACAACTACAACTGCAACAACAAACTAATCAATCACTAGCAAGGGAATGGGATTTCCCGTTTGCCAGTTTAGACACATACCCAACTATATCTTTATCATCTTCAATGAAAAATAGAGGCCTAAACTAAAACAGTGGTTCTCCTAGCAAGGTAGGAATGACAGGTACTACGCCTTAACATCCTACGATCTGACCACAGAGAACCTGGCAGAGCCTATAAGCTTGCTAAGTCAGTAAAAGCATTACAAAAGTGTTATGCCAAAGAATGTGTTTAGTCAAGATTTTATCTATTGTTATCTGTCTACTACCTTTGCCAACTTACTGTAAGGAAGATAAAAACTTACAAAAGAAACATTCATAATCATTCATTTGTTGTTGTGAATTCTTGATTTTAAAGTATGATAGTTTTTAAAGTACTCTCACCAGCAGTACATGAACTATGGGTATAATAGAGTCGTTTTGAGTAAATGTTTCCAAGGGAATTTACAATGCTAAAGTTGAAAAAAACGTAGCTTCTAAATTAAGGTTTCATTGTTTTTATCAACAAAACTATAATGTTGGGAAGTTTTTTTTCTTATCCTTCACATTCCAGACAGCAGCCACATTTTATTGTAAGTGGTTTAAAGCCAATAGTGAAATTGGTCTCTATTTTAATTCAATAGTTCATTAAAACATTCTTTGAAGATGTGTCAACAGGAATAAAAATAGTTCAAAATCCATTTCTGCCCATTTATCTCTTAATAAACAAAATAAAAATGAATATATTTCTTTTAGTTTCCTAGCTGCTTTCTGAATTTTTACAGAAACTAGAATCATCAAAGCTGGCAATACAATGTTGGCAATACATTTTGAAGCAGGTAAAATTGGCCACAGGAGCGCTTTCATCTCTATGCTCAGCATTCCTATGTCCTATAAGTGTACCCTTCTGCAACAAGTCATTATTGGCAAGCCTCTACCACTGTTTCATTGCTAAAGAACATTTTAAGATGTTTCTACTTTTCAGTGCATTCCTATTTTATTTAGTGCTGTTAACTATTGAAAAAGTATCTGAAGCTTCAGAGGAATCATCTCTAATAACGAAGTGTCTGGTGTGGCAACAGTGATGGAGATTGTTTGGCAAGAGAATACTCCTTGTTTCCATTAAGTTATTCTGTGGAAGCATTGCGTGCTCTGAGCAGGTAACTGAGGCTGGCTCTAGGATGATGTTTTGATATTGCATTTTATTGGGTTGTAGACAAGTCAGAAACCCTGGACTGCTGTTGCCAGGAGGATATTTAAAATTGGCAGACTGGAAGTGCTAGGGCAGATGGATTTCTTTCCAGTGACGCATATCTTGTTTGGAGGTGACTAGAGGAATATTTAAAGCTTGACCATCAATCAGGAAGTACTGGTCTCACTAAAATGCGTTTTACCCACCTTTTGGAAGAAGAAAAGGATGCAAAGAATGAGTGTTTCAGGAAAAGTACTGTGTCTCTGTTCTACACATTGCATCAACACATATACAAAGACACACATGCTATTTCTAAGGTAATAAATAGCAATACAAGAAGTTGGCAACAGGACGATGTTACGGAAGAGGGTTCATCTCTGAGTGACACTTCCTTTGTGTTTCTCACTTGCTTTAAGAACAGAGTCTTATGAAGTCAGAAGTCTTGGAAAAATGTCCTTAGGTCTCCCTTGACAGGGTTCCAGCCATTAGGTACAGTACCAGCTGACATTACATAAAAAAATCATTCTAAGCTGAAGCCAAGCATGTTTATTCTGAGATTCAGCTAAAAGTGATCCAAGTGTTCTATAAGATGAAGAGAGTTTTAATAACTCATAATTCAGGGAAAAAGGAAAATCTTCTAGCAGAACTACCAGCTATCTACCTTAGACATCTAGAACACTTTTCATTGTTTATTCTTACACCTTTTATTCCCACAGTGTTGTTATGTTTCTATGTCAGAAGCAATCTAGAGCAGAGGAGACTGGTAATGAAGATTATATGCAGCTCTCTTGGAGAAAAGGATCAGAAAATTTTGGAAAAAAAGCTCTGGATCAAAAACCAACATAAGGTAAACCTGCATTTTATTTTGAAAATAATTTTCTGGGAGACATATCTTCACTCTCAAAATTTAAAGTAGTAATAATAACTATTGGCAACAACTGGTATCTTGAACTATATGTATAATTTATTAAATAAAAATTATTGTTCCATTTGGAAACCAAGAATTAAAAGAATTAAGCAGCTAGCATTTTGCCAAACAAATCAGAGTAAAGACAAGAATTCACAGTAATTTAACAATGAAGGTTTTATATCTGCCAAAATCCATTTTATAGACACTGAACCAATTGCTGGACACAAATAAAACCAACCCCAAACACAAATGGAAGGAGCCTCAGAAGCTAGACGATGCAAGTAAGTGACAAGAGACTGGTCTACAACAGAGATTCTCAGTTTCATTAGTGAACACAAATTTTATACCTGAACTCTCAACACAGTATTATTTTAGTGTATGTACATACATTTTTATTTTTATATTTTTGTTTTTAAGGAAACTTCTTTGTAAAGTTGATATAAATACATTCAATTATAATTCACAGATAACCTTTTATAAAGTCCTGAATTAGAAAAATAGCTCTTATGGTTCTATTTTCTGGGAAGGCCAAAACCTACTTGAGTAAGCAGACCAACATTTTAGGACCCATACTACATTTTTTTCAGTATGTTGTTTTAGCATCCTGCTAAAGGTTTACACTCATTCCTATCAGGTTTATAGTCATTCCTATCAGTTTGACTTTCATAAAGGGATTCCTCACAGAAGTGTGGACAGGGTTAAGGGACTGGAGGCAGTTGAGGATATGTGATAGCAGGGAGCTGTTGCTGATGCTGCTAGCCCAGCAAGCTGAGCCCAGCAAGAGCTGTGAGACTTAGTCGCAGCCCCCATGCCAGGAAAGACCAATATTTCCCAGGAATGGGTGACTGAGCTGGTAGGGACAGGGCTGGAGCTCAGGTACTGACGGGCCAGGTTACTCTTGTGTCAGTCTGTGATCACACCAGAGAAGGAGCTGGAAAGCTGTGCAGCCCAAAGTTTAGGTCTGTTTTGCTTCTGTGCCCTGCCCTAGGTGAGCCACAAGGAAACCAGTTCTGTCTACCTAGTGAACTCTACTTTGTTAGATCTGATGTGTGCAGATTATTTTGTCATTTGCCCTTGTTTACCAGATAGCCGAACAGAAATTCAGAGTGTTTGGAGTGGCAGCAAGCTCCCATAGCAGTCATGGGCAATTCTCTCATTTCTCACATTGCTAGCCATGCTAGCTCATTAAGCCATGATGAGTTACTAAACCTATTGTTCTGCAAAGTAAGATAAGGAGGAGGATGAATATTGAATGTTGTGACCCAGCATGTTTGACACCAGTGTTGTACCTCACCTGTGGATCAGTGGGCAGACCTCACAACAGGACAGAGAATCAAACAGGAAAAACAAAATAGCTATGTGCGTGAAACAAATAGTTATTTAAATACCCTTGGATTAGTAATACTTAATCATGGTGCATTGCAGACTGCTCAGTGATGTTCACATTTATTCCTGAATGCTTTGCAAGTTGCTTTACTATGTCTTTCATCTTTCCATCATAAATAAAGTTTTGACTTTCATTCATTTTGTTTGGGAGAAATTATTGTGAGAAAATGTGGCTTTTCATTACTCCACTGAAACCTAGGTTGTCAGGCATCCAGGTGGCTATAGCAACTAAGTCTCCTGTTTTACATTCCTCTAGACTCAATCCCTGAAAATTAGTTGGAACAGATTATAGAGAGCTCTGTGAAATGCATTTTTTAGTTGAGAGGGGCAGTGAGCTGGAAGGCTCATCTGTTCTTTTGATCCTCTGTAACTTCTCTGATCTTGTGAGTCTGTATGACTCATCTGTACAAGGTCCTGTTGTCTCACTCCCTTGGAAACTGTTGGACTATTATAAATAAAGCCCACTCTTGGCCTTCAACTTTTTGGCTGTATTCTGAAGTCCCCAGAGCCCCCAGAACTCTGGACCAAAGCTAGGGCTCTTTCCACATGTGTAGGGCTGTGTCTATAAAAATAAAACTGTTGTATCAATTTGGGATAACATTGATTTTTTTTTTATTCTATGAATCAAGCTTCATTCATTTTCTCCCACTCCAAGTAAATTGTGTCAAAGGGTTAGTGGGAAGAGATGAGCCTGAGCTTCTGTCACTTTTTGGAAACTTTCTCTACTTTGTATTTTTCTATTGTGTATATTTACTACAGTGATCTAAAAAAAAAAAACAGCAATCATGGGGTCATACAAATTGGAGCAGCAGGGGATCACTTGAAGTCCTACCCAAAGGCCATGTTGTCCTCAATGTATTCTGAGTGATCATTATTTGCCAGGCACTGGGCTCCAAGAATTAGTCCCAACTCAGGTAACAGGTATAATATTCTCCTGTGGCCTTTTTTAGCATCTAGGGGGATGAAGACTCAGATATTTCAGTGTTGTGTTGAGTTTGTGCTCTTAACAGATGTACACTCAAGATTCAAACTCAAGTAATCTGACCCTAATGTTTATGCTTTCTATTATGAAATAAATCAGTGGTTTCCACTTCCCTTTGATTTCCTTCAAAGGAGCTAGGGGCACAGAGAATGATGATCTTGGTACAGGAGAGGGTGGTGGAGAGGGAGGACAAGTGTAGAAAGGTAAAAGAACTGATAAACTTCTACCTGCTAGTGATGTGCATTACAGTGGCCTCTAGCATATTTATTTTTTAAAAGGATGAAGAGCATGAGTGCATTTCCTAACCACCCTCTGAGCACTCAGTCAGTGGGAAGAAGCTGAGGGTACTAGAGAGCTGTCCCATGCACTGTCACCTGGAGGGCTGGGTTTGTGAGGCTGACATCTGAAGTTGGCTATTTCATTATAGAGGTTATGCCAAGTCATGAACTGCTTTTTAAATTTAAAGTTTAAAATTTTTATTTTATTTTATTTTTGTCTTTTTGAGACAGGGTCTCACTGTGCAGTTCAGGTATTTTTATCATGAGCTTCGTGGATGCCTAGGACCTGAGCCAGGTCCTGCAAAGATCATGTCAAGGATCACAAAATGGTTTTTTCGCCCAGGGGAACAGAAGTCCCCTGCAAAAGGGATGAGTCCTGGCCTCAAGGACATCAGTGAGGGGGTCACAGAACCCTTGGCATTTCAACCTCAAAGGCTGAAGTATTCTGATTAGTAGAGAAAAGAGTCAAGCTGGTGAATGGAAGGGAGCAAGTCTGAGCCTGGACCACATTTGCTGCTGATTATGAACTGCAATGGGCTGAATGTTTGTGTCTCTCCTGAATCCATGTGTAGAAATTCAAATCTCCAATGTGATGGTATTAAGAAGTGGGGCATTTGAGAGGTAATTAGGGAGGTAGGGTAGAGCCCTTATGAATGGGGTTAATGTTAGTGTTCTCATAAAAGAAACCCTATTGCTCTCTTTCTACCAGGAAGTTGCAACCCAGAAGAGGGCCCTCACCCTCACCTGGTATTGACTGTGGACTTCCAGGACCCAGAATGGTGAGATTCAAGTCTTTGTTATTTACAAGCCATCCAGTCTATGGTACTTTGTTGTAGCAGTTGGAGTGTACAAAGAAATGGACACATTTCCCTGGTACTACCTAATATCCTACATTTTCTTGTTTTTAGTATAAGCTCTTATCTGCAGCTGAGGTGTACTTGGAAGGTGAACACTTATAGCCTTATTTAAAGTTTCATTATTCTAAGTGAACAAAATGAAGCCATTAATATTTATAAAACATCATGGGTTGATACCAAATTATCTACTTGTGGTACTAGTTGATCTCTCATACCAGCTTTCTAAACTAGAATGCATGAAAGTTGAAATTTTGTTTTGCCATTTTGACAGCACTTTGAATACAGAAAGCCAAAGTACACTGAATACCTTTTATGCTTAGGGGCATTGTTTGGTATTTTATTCAGTGAGTACTTCCTAAATATATTTACAAAGGAAAACAGTCTCAGCATGTTGTCTGGAAATTGGTGGTGTGTAAGTGGACTTACGTAAATTGAGGGGTGTGTGTTTGTGTGCACTTTGGAACTGAGAATCGGATATTAAACCTGGGTTTTATAGCAAATATACTTTAACTTCAGAATATTTCTAGTCACTTTAAGTTAGAATGATGTTTGTCAGGCAACTTTCAAGAGTAAGGTATTATATTTCATCATCATGTAATGTCATAGTAGGAGATTAAAGATTGATTTAACAGAACATATTCCACTGCTAAGCAACCTGTAAGTTCTATATTTCATTGAATTTAAGATATCCTCAGGGTAACACAGGCCATTACTCTGTTTGTATCATTAAGGAAGGAATCTAATATGCTTCTGATTAAATTCTGACATAATAATTTTATGTGAGTAGAATTTTTAGTTATTGAAGGTGTTCTTAGACTTATTTGATCATAGACTGTTACCACTTAGAACTTTTGTACATCTGTGAGAAGGAAAATGTGATTTTAATACATTGGTAAAAATAATACTAAAATGAGTCACATTCATATCTGATCCTTTTGACTCACATGCCAATGATCATCACGTCTACTTTGTACAGACAACTGGCCTCTGGGCCACAAGACTATTGGTAATGTAATATTTCTTTAAAAAGCCCCACTGGTGCCTTTGGGAGTCTTTTCCAAGTGATTGCCACCCATCCTGCAAATTTTAATGTTCACATTTACTCCCTGACAATTCAGTCATGATCACTGACTCTCCATGAAGATGTGTGCCTTGCAATCTATGACATATGCTAAATGACTCAGGTATGTGATATAATTAAAAGTCTCAAACCAACTCCTCAGAGATAGACTTTTGCTGTTAGAAATCTCCAGAGTAACTATTAAGTACTAATCCTACTAATACAAAGAGATTGAGTAGGAAAAACCTCTAGATCAGAGGTTTCTCAGTTCGGGATTTTTCAGAATCAATTAGTTTATTTGCTAAAAATTTTAATTTCCAGGCCTAACCTAGACCCATCAAACTGGAATCTCTGAGTATGTCATTTTTGACAATCTCCCCAGGCTGCTCAGATGCAGTTGGTGTGGAGAGCTGTCTTGTGACACTGCACTGAGCCATGTCAAGGTATGCTCAAGTGTGGTTGGTATAAGCTAAGCTCTCAGGTCAAAGGCCCAGAGATTTTATGCAGTCAATGGCAGTCAAAAGACAGCAAACCACAATGTGTTCTTTCGTTGTGAATATCCCAAGAATAAAAGAGTTGAGATAGTCTGATGTCAGGTTAAAGAGTTTGAAGTTGCCAATTCCTTTAAAAGTCCTAAATAAGGTGTCAATCATTTATTCAATCAACACGTCATGTAAAAGACTGAAGCCCCCCAACTATAGACAAACTGATGAAACTAGTAATGGTGGTCTGATTAATATTACATAACAAAAGGGGTCAGTTTAAGGTTAGGCAAAAGAAGTGCCACATTTTTAGAGAAGCAAAATAGTAGAATCATTTTTTATGATTCATGTGTTAATCAGAAATATTAGTTCCAAAATTCCTAGTGAAAATTCCAAACATCTTAGTAGTAACTTCCAACATGATTTATTAAATATGTGTTACCTTGTGTCAGATACTGTAGTTCTAATGTTTAACTAACTTCCAACATCTAGACTAACAGTTTAGTCATTTGAGAAACTGATGTTTTGAAAAACATTTTTAACCTAAAAGGGAAGTTTGATAAGCTGCTTAGTCATGCTGCACTGTGATGAGGTGAGGCAGGCTACTAGAGGGATTGTGGAATCTTCGCAAGGAAGACGGTTGAAACTTGGTCATTGTGTTTTTCTTGAATTAAGTGAATGAAAAACTGGATCATTTCACAGAAAGTGAGATGGATAGAGGGATGCACGGATCTCTATCCATACAGAATGGATCTCTATCCATACAGAATGAGTACTACATTTGTACATTTTATGATATTTTTGAATTGAACAATGTTTTCAATCTACATTTTCCTTTCATCTTCATAACCTCTCTTTGAGAATGGGAAGGAATTTCTCTTTCTTGTATGTTACTGAAGGGGAAAATGATTTCATGTTGAGCAGGAAGGCTAGTTGGTGTCTCGTGAAATCTACAATGGTAGAATCTGGGCTCCAACTCAGGCCTTCTGGTTCTAAGTTCAGAGATTTTTTTTATTACATTGTTTCTTTTTTGGATTGGAACAGCTTTTGAATGTGGGTCCCTATTTGGAGGTGGAGAGACAGTGTGTGACTATAGTCACTTACAGATAGATTTATAAACCAGAACGCTAATTTGAAAAGGAGTCATCTGCTAGAAAATCTTGCCTCGAGTCTTCACAGTAGAATCTGCCAAAATTGCGAAGAGAAAGTATCAGAGTAGCGAGAGTTCCTCATGTGTTTTCAAAGCTCTGGAAGAATTCTTAACAGTATGAACCCAAAGTTGAAGTTTCTAGGTTTGATCAGGTTAAAAAATAACATCACTCTGCAGCTGTTTCCTCACACTTCACTGGTGTAAAAGATCTGAATATGGTAGTAAAACCCTCTGTTACCATATGCAAAGAGATTCTGGGTTTAGGTGTGCAGGTCTCTGATGTCCTGTTCTGATCCTCTCACACTTATCCATATACCGAATCTTCACACTCATGATTCCTGCAGGGCTCTTGGCTGTTATACAACTCTAGTGGCACTCCAGCCACCTACAGTATTAATCTACTTTTTAGGACAAATCAGAAAGTCTGTGGCCAGGAAAGAAGCCTAATGAAAACACGTGTGCTTCACTTGACTGTTCTAAGCAGATGTAGTTTTTGAAAATTGCCCACAGCATTGAAAATTGTCTTTATTAGAAATTGAATCAGAGAATTATAGAGGTATTTCTTTTGGAAAAATATCTGTACCAAGATATAAGTTCATGCATAAAGAATGAAACAAATCTTCAGAAGTTAGATGCATGATAATAATGGTCATGATGCTTTCAGAAGTATTGATTCGTTCAGTTCTTTTAACTCATTATTGAGGTAGGGGGGAGAGAGGAGAGGTTTAGAGCACATGGCAGGTGATGTGCCTAAGAGTATATGGCTTGGTAGTGGCAAAGTTGTTGCTAGAACTTCTATTAGTTATTCTCAGAGCAAGAACTCTGGAAGGATTCCCCAGTCTCTGGCCTGTGACAGTTGACCTGTGACTAGCATGAATCTCAGCTGTTTGGCAGATGTGGTTAGTTTGGGCCCTGGGCTCTGAGGGGGTTCCTATGAACTTCTCAGAGTGGATGTGATACTACCCGTTCTATGGCTCAAAGGTCAAGAGGACCAAGTAGGTGAGCTATGCAGGAACTGACATGAGATCAGAATCTTTGTTCAGAATCCATTCAATCCTTAGGGGCTTCTGCTCTTTCCAGAATTCTATACTTCATTCTCATGAAGAAATATGTTTTGTAGCTCAATCTTACCTGCCCAATAACTTTGCCCTCACTTTGCTTCTCTTAGTGTGAAGAGAAAGAATGGGAGCACATTTGTGTCCATTATAATTTATTACTCTCTGAAAATGATTCTGAGAATCAATTTGTAACTTTTATGTGTTTAGTACATATTAAGATCCTAATATGTGCTGAAACATGTACTAGACAAGTGCAAAAATGTCAGTTGATGTCAAACTAGGAAGAACTTCAGATGTTACCAAAAAATGGAAACAAAAACTAAACTGAAAACAAAGTCTTATATACCTAAAAAAATTCTTGTAAATGTGTCTACTTGATCCTTGGGAATGTTTGCTTCAAGTCTGCTTTGTAATTCAATTTAAATCAATCTTATCTTGCAGGGGTTGTTTGTTAGGAAAGCACAGTTAATATGCTACAATTGGCTTGACTATGAATCATCTACTGAGGGTTTGGAACCTTTCCAGAACCTTTCTGACTGGATCATCTTTGCCTATCCAGAAGTAAATCCTTGTTATTTGTTTAAAAGCAAACAGTATGTTCAAAATAAAGCACAAAATATCAGTGCATATTACCTAGGCTTATTTTCCTGATTGACACAATATCAAGTTTAGGGGAAAAATCACAATGACATTTAAAATGTACTGGATGTAGTGGGTTGAAGAGTTATTTGATTTTATTATCTCTTTGCCCATTTTCAGAAGACAACTTGATATATCTTGGGAACAAGAAATGGTTTGTTTGACCTACTATTATAGTTTGGATCTGAAATGTTACTACAAAGCCTCATGTTTGGATTATGAGGGCACTATACTCATTGGTAGATTGGTCCACTGCTGAATTTATAGCTAAATATGCTCCTAGGAGACGGAGCCTGTTCAGAATATGTGGGTCACTGGGGGCTTGACCTGGAAGGTCTTCTTTTCTGGCTCCTCCTCTCTCTCTCTGCTTCCTGGTGGCCAAGATGTGAGTAGCTTCCTTCCATGGGATGCCCTTCCATCATGCCATTCCAGCCTTGGAGTCAGCTGATCATGGATTGAAGAGGTGAATGCAAATAAATCTCTTGTCCTTTAACTAGTGTATGTCAGGTATTGTGTTTCAACAACAAAAAAGTGACTAAGACATACTTTTGTACCAGAGAAATGAGGTCACTGCTGTGACTACTTGACAATATAATTTCGAAGACTTAAGGTATAAAAAGTAAAGGTAAATTCCTCCAAAAGACTTTGCTTTGAGAAGAGAGCTCCAGGGTGCTGTGGCAGATAAGGACTAATTCCCTCTGATTCAGATCACACCTGTAGGTACTCAGAGAATCCTGAAGCCATGATGCAAGAGGGCTCTGCTACTGCTCATGCTGTGAGTAGACTTTGGCATTGTCTATGTGGTGCCGGTTCTACAGGCATATAGAATGCAAGAGTTGTGGGTCAGAGAGGCTTCCACCCAGATTTCAGAAGGCCTGGGAGATGGAAATGTGTCCCTGAGAGGGTAGTTTTTTTTGGTTTTGGTTTTTTGGTTTTCCTCCGGTACCGGGAACTGAACTCATGACCTTGCGCTTGCCAGGCAGGCGCTTTTGCCGCTGAGCTAAATCCCCAGCCCCACCTGAGAGGGTAGTTAATTCAGCTGTCAGGGTGAAGCTGAACATTTAGTAGATATCCCAGGAAGTTAGAAAGGAGAGGCCACAAGGTCTGCAAATGGCAATTATGTAGGGGTGAGGATGCCAAAGCCTTTTGGAGTTCACATTTTCCACCTCTTGCACTGGGTGTTAGGTATGGATTTATAAGATTTGATGTTTTCCCTGCTGGGTTTTAATCTTGCTTTGCTCCAAATTCTTTCTATCTGCTTATTTCTTCATTTTGGAATCAGAATGTTTCCTCTATGCTACTGTGTGTCTGTAGTGTTTAATTTTCTTTTTGACTTTTATAGGAATTCTCTGCTAAGAGTTTGCCTTGAGTCTCAGAGGAGACTTTGAAATTGCACTTTTCAGCAATGCTTAAATTGTTAAAACTTTGAGGACTCTGAAAAATAGACTAGCTGCATTTTTCATAATGAGTTGTACATGAGTCTCTGGAGCCAGGAGTGGAATGTTATGGTTTGGATCTGATATGTCCTCACCAAAGTCTAACATGTTTGGAAGGTGATTGGGTCATGGGGGTGCTATATATTTCAGTGGATTGGTCTACTTATGAGTTTATAGCTAAATATGCTGTTCAGAGGTGGGTCCTGATTAAAATAGGTGGTTTGCTGTGGGCTGGACCTAGAAGGATATAGCGCCCTCCCTGGCTCAACCTTTTGCTTTTTGATTCCTGGCAGTCTTGACATGACAAACTTTCCTTCATGGCAAGCCCTTCTAACATGCTGTTCCTGCCTTAGGAGCCAGCTGACTAGAGACTGAATATGTAAGTAATCTTTCCTTCTTTAAGTTGTGTTTGTGACATATTGTGCCTCTCCAATGAGAAAGTGACTAAGACATCTACCTTAGCATGAACATCCACCTCTGATATTGTGAAAGCCTTCCCTTCATTGCTCTTTGATTTGAGAACTGATGTACAGGCAGAGAAAGGTTAGAGATGTGCTACTCCCTAGCACAAAGCAAGCCAACCAGGTTGGACCGTGTGCAATCAATTTGAACAGCTTTGATTTTATGTTAGTCTCCCCACAATTCAGTCATCCCTTTGGCTGCAGATTAAAGTTGATTCTGTTGTTACTCTTGCTTCAGTTTCCTAACTTTTGTAGTCAGTTCTAACTCTCTTAGTGAAATTCATTGATCTGGGCTCAAGTTTGGGGAAGACAGAAATACAGCTAGATAAAAATCCCATAGACATTGCCCTGGGACAAGTGGCTTTGGTTGGATCTTTAAAAGAACTTTTCATTCCCTCAAAATGACTCATTGATATAGTTTCACTGATGAGCTCAGTTGATCATGTTTTCTATACTCTTCTGTGTATTGCATTTGGATTATTGTTAAGGACTTTGTACACTCAGTGTACACTTTTTAGTTTTTTAGTAATTAACTCAAGTTATTCTCAATTTCATTTACCTTTGTGTTCCATTGTGGAAAGTATTAACGACTTTGCATGCTTTTTAAGTGTACAAAATCCACTCCATGCCTTCTGAATTACATCTGGTAGAGCTGGCCACTTCACTCACCTAGGTCACTTGTATATCATCTCTACATATTTGATTTTGAAATTCTTGTTCTATTTTCTAGTGTCTGTATGTCTGTGGACTGGAGTTCTAATCTCATCATTTTCTATCTGTGTGGTGTTGGATAAGTTACTTAACATCTCTAAGCTTCAATTTTTCCATCTCTAAGATGGAGACAGAATAGTATCTAGCTCTTGATGTTGTTTTAAAGTTAAATACGGTAATCTATATAAAGTGCTTAGCATAGTGTGGAACCCACTGTAAGATCTCTACAAAGATAGTTATTATTAATCACTAATCCAATTAACCTCTCTTTTCTCATAAAGTGGTGTTCAACAAAATTTGCACAAGTAAATTTTCCATGGGTAGGCTTAAATTATGAACCAGGTCATTGGAATCATTGGCATGGAAACATGATTGTATTGTAGTAAGCAACAGAATGTGTGGTTTTGATATTAAACTGATGTAATTTGAGACTATTTTTGACATTCTGGCATCTTGAGGAAATTATTTAACTTTTTTCTGATTTGTTTTCCTCATTCAAAAAATGGATATGATAATTGTAGCTACTTCCTAATAGTGTGGAGAGGAATAAGTGAGTTTATCCAGGTAAAATGGGCAAGAACAGTGCTTGGCAATACTACGTACTCAGTAGATGTTGTCTGCTGTTGAAAAAATCAGTGTTCCACCTGCTACATACATTTTTGCTTCTGGGGGAGGAATACAGGGTATTTTGAATTGAATTGTCATAGAAAATTTGGGAAATTTGCAGGCTAAAACTCTTGCCTTCATTCGCCAATTCCCCAATTCCCTGCACTCTAATTCCTCGTTCATCCCACTAAAGTTGCACTTGCAAAGACAATCATCAGATGACATCCAATGAGGGTCTATTTCTTATCTTCCAAAGGCACAAGGATTTCAGAGGTTACTAGCCTAACACCATTAATTCCAACAGAGGAAGCTAAGTTCTGTGGATTTCCCAGAGCTAATTTGTGACCAACCAAGATTTATTCACTTTTACTGGGCTGTTTATTTACCAAATGACAGTGGATTTATTTCCATTTTAACAAATTGGGTGAGGGCCTAACAATCCAACATGTGGTTGATGTAAGAACTCCTCTTTCTTCTCTTTCATCTTGTACTCTCTGTCTCACAAATCTTGCTTAATGAGGCCTAGTCCAATCAATATTTTGAGAGTTATTCTGTTTTCCCCAGTGGGATGTACACCCTGTGACCCTCCATAGCATGAAGACCTTATTTCCTGAACAGTAATGTTTTCTCTTCCCTATAACTTGCCTCTCTTGGGCTGTGTTCCTATTTTCCTGCTAGCTGTTTTGTTTCCTTGGGCTGGCTGCCTTGTTTGGCAGTTTTTAGCAAGGCATCTGATAGATGCCAGGAGGTGAGGGGAAGGGCTGTGGGTGAACTCCATCATTGGATAAGGACACTCCATATCCAATGATGGATGAGCCTTCTCTCCAGGGAATTTTAGGTCAGAAGTCCAATAGATAAGTTTTTCCAGAACTGAGTAACCAAGAAACAGTGCCATTAGGATCTTACCTCTTTTGTGCCTTTTCATACTGATTTTAAAGCAAATCCTTAGCAGCAGTTGCACATCTTGCTAGAAACATCACTCCATCCATGATAGACTTAGATATATATGACATGACTTGTTTTAGAAATAAAATTTGAGGAGGAGGGTAAGAGGAAGGAAGAGAGGATCTTGAAAAAAATCTCTACCAAAATATTTTCTTTCTTCTAAGTATTGAAAAGGCACAATGTAACCCTTTCTTCTTCCAAATGATTTCATAGCTATTTATTGAGGGGAAATACCAAATGCTTATTATTATTATTTGCAGAAGCTTCTTCAGTCTTGATGATTCATGTTGCTATCATTTTCTTCCTGACTGCAGAGACTCTGAGACAATGCTACACCCCAAGTGATATGTTGGTGTCAGAACAATTCCTGTCCTGAAGGGGTATTTGACCTTCTTTATTCCCCCTTCACAGATGTCCTTGAGCCTTTGAGACGGATGTGAGTGAATTTTTCAGCCTTCATGCAAAACAACCATCTAAACATAACAGATGACATCAGCTTGGGCTTTTCAATTCCTGGATGGCAGCAGCGTGTTAATCCAGCCTTCATCCTGGATTTCATAAACTAAAACAAGAGAGGCTGGCAGGAGGACAGCGCTGCTGCTGGGTTGAGGAAATTGATGACGGGAAAGCACACGGGCAACCCAGTGTATAAAACTGATAAACGTGTAGGCAGAGAGGCTCAGCTACTACTTTGGACGGCTGCTTCCCACAGCGAAGACCACAACGCAGGGAGCTGAGCCCGAGCCAGCAGGGAAACATGAGGAGCCTTTTGCTGCTGACCACACTCCTTGTACCTGCACACCTGACTGTGGCTTGGAGCACCAAATATGCTGTGGATTGCCCAGAGCATTGTGACAATAGCGAGTGCAGAAGCAGCCAACACTGCAAGAGGACAGTGCTGGATGACTGTGGCTGCTGCCAAGTGTGTGCTGCAGGGCTGGGAGAAACTTGCTACCGCACAGTCTCAGGCATGGATGGCATGAAATGTGGCCCAGGGCTGAGGTGTCAATTTTACAGTGAGGAAGATGATTTTGGTGACGAGTTTGGTATCTGCAAAGGTAAAGAGAGACCACTTACTTTCCCCACCTTGTACAGGGCTCCCTGAGGGCTTTTAGCCAGTTTGGGAGGTGAGGTGGCTTTGCAACTTTGGATCAAGAGGGAAAATGCACGTCTCATGCAGTTGTTGTGTTAGTTAGAGCAAGGAGAATTCTGCAAACAGCCACTGAAACCAGTGTGCAGGAAAGCGCAGAAAGAAGTGCAGCATTCCACACATTATATTTAAGAGATTTAGGAGAGAAAGTTGCAGTGGAATATTGTGTTGCCTCTTTTTCTGGAAAACTTTAGAAACTTGACAGGTAATTTGTTGTGAATAGTTTAGGTGCTCACTCTCTTGCAAGGCAGTGATTACAGAGGTCCCACTGGATAACCTCTTGGAGTGATTTCTAGCCCCTGGATTTAGTGCTTTGATCTTGAAAGGGTCACAGGATGAAGAGCCTTTCACAAGATCAAGTCTAGCAGATGAACACTAATGCATTTTATGGAGCACAGTGGGCTTAAGTCATCTAACAGAATAATTCATATTCTTACAAAAAAGTCCTCTGAAGTACAAAGCACTTCTTTCCACTTTATAAGGGTTTTGTCTACCTAGAAAACTAGTAGACAGTGTAGGATAAAAAAATGGAAAAAAATGCAAGTATTGAAAATCAGTAAAGAATGATTATTTTATAGAAATTTGATTAGTTTACAGAAAATTTCATCAAATATAAATTATAGTTAAATGACACCATTAAACAATCATAGAAATACTTTGAAACTTAATGACCACAGGTTAAAATATTTAGCACTTAAAGTGTTTAGAATCAAAACAATGGTGATTTAATAATAATATATAGATACTCTACACTTTCACCGTTGAGCTATTATCAAGATATAGCACAGGCTATAATGACATGCATCAGTTGTATAATGCAAAGAAGCTGTGAAAATTGTAAAATATTCCAGGAAATTTCTAAATAATTTTAATATTTTATGTATTTAATACAATTGTATTTTTTTATGAATGAATGCATACCATATTAAGTTAATCTAATGAGTTCTTCCCTTTCATAATCCAATTTATAAGTGAATCATTTTTTCATCTATAAAACTTGTAAAAAGTTAAGAAATACATTTTTGACTCAAGAAAATTTTATTTTTGCCTATAATCAATAAGAGGTGGAATATTAAAGAAATATATTCTTTCATGAACACACATATATATTTCATTCAGCTACATAGGTCTGTATTTCCTGCATGTTACAGGGCTTATCAGCCAAGAAAACAATTCTTCATAAGAAAATTAGGGAGGAAGTGGTTAGCACATTCATGGTTATGAAATAGCAAGTGTATGAAGCAGACTGCTTTTTCTCTTAGTATAAGAATGCCTGTGTAAATGTGATTATAAATGTACAGTTACTTAGGGGTAAAGAACTAAACTGTAGGTATCTGGAATTTTTATTGCTCTAGTATTCTACTGAATGATTGGGGTAAATGTTAATGAAGTATATTTAAGAATATATTTTGGGTTGATCCTTTTTGCATCCTTCAGATTGCTGATGAGTGGAGTTTTAAAGATTTTTCTTTTTGTTGGGAAATAAAGAGAACATGGGAACATTCGCAACTCTACGTAGAGACATTCCATTTGCTCTAGGCAAACCCTCCTTCAGCTTTTTTTTGCAGAACACCCATATAGCCATTAAATACATTCGCTGTACATCTAGATTTTCTCCTGAATATTCAGATATTTGTCACTGTGTTTCCCAGAGAACAATTAGCTAGCTAACACATATTAATTGAATACTTACCATATGCCAAGAGCTATTCAATGCTTGAGGGGAATGGTTAGAAGTATACTTGGAATTTGGCTAAAATTTTAGTTTTCAGTTTCACTGTAAACACAGTCCAACTCCAATCCTCTCTGATTTTCTGCTAAGAGCTTTTCCAGAATCCTTTTTCAGGATCCCTCCTCCTAGAAGAGAGGATAGTATTCAAAACCAGAGTTCTCTATAATCTGAAGGATGGCAGAAAAAGCAAATTTAAATCTCTTTAAAAATATATTTTATGAATACCTATCTTGATCACTGTGTGTACTATTGAATTGCTGAGATTCACATGTCTCACACCTTGTTTCTTCAACCTTATGTGATGGTATAATTACTGTGATCTTACATGGCAAGAAAATATTCTGCATATGCTCTGCTGTCTTTTAAAGACAGGTTTTTCTGTTGAGATATTGTTTATGCTATAAAACCATTTCTTCTTAATAAATGACTTTGTTCTCTTTAAAATTTCCATGTAGCATGTTTTAGTCTAAGTATAATCACTTTGAAGCTCTAAAAGCTTCCAGTTTTTGGTAGATGTAAGAGTGCTCAGGATGTATAAATGCTGAGCTTTCTTCTTCATAGCCATCTCATATCTTAGCTTTGCAGAGATTTTTTTACTAGCGAATTCTCTTAATAGTTGAGGCAGTTAGGTAAGTTGTATGGCTCTTCTGACAAAGGACTTCACAAGAGTTGGAACAGACTGAGGATTGATGGCTTCATGGAGAACAGGGATGATAGCTCTCTCAGCCCTGGTTAATTTGAAGCCTTTTGCTATACATTTAAACAGTGAATTGTCCGTGAATACAGTGGATTTAAAGACAACATCATCTCTTTTAAGCTCTGTGAGGAGCTGATGCATAAAACCATTCCTTCTTCAATTTCCCATCTTCAGTGAGTTGTTACCAAGGTAACTTGTGAGAATCTATAGACAGTGATGGGAAAATAGAATTAAGATTGGTCCAAAGAAATTGGTTATGTATAGTTGTGTTCAACTAGAGTTTACAGTATAACACAAAGCCCAAGGCATCCATTATCTAGTCTGAATCTGGGCTTTTGAGTATTGAGTTTTATTGCATAGTGAAGATCCATGAGTTTGAATGAAATCTTAACACTATCAGTCAGGGGCTGCTAGGATGGAGGCTTGTGCACGTTACACAACTCCCTCTCTAAACCCTTTCTCTATCCTTAGACTGCCCGTACGGTACCTTTGGGATGGAATGCAAAGAGACTTGCAACTGCCAGTCAGGCATCTGTGACAGGGTGACGGGAAAATGTCTCATATTTCCATTCTTCCAATATTCAACAGTGACGTCTTCTACCAGGAGGTTTGTTTCCCACACAGGTAAGACTAGATTCTGCTATCACTTTGCAACTGTAGTCTTACTCTGAGTTTGAATCACTCAAAAAATATCAGTGCATAGATTTTAATGTTCTTGTTTTCTTTATTTTACTGAGGGAAAAGGTAGGTGGCAGTTGCATTTGGTTGCTGTTGCTATTTTCTAAAAAGACCCCATTAATAACTTTTGAGGGTTATGTATTATAATTTCTCACATAGTTATCCAGGGTATATGAAGCAGACATAAGATTGATTACCAAAAATGTGTAATAAAAAGTCACCAACTGAGATATACAAAGTTCCTTAAATTCTCCAGTGATCTGTTTTAAATATTTATTAGACAAAACTATTCTTCTCCCAACTTCACAGAAAAAGCACTGTTAGGAATTTACTGGATAAGGTTTAAGAGTCAAGATAAAAAGAGAGAACATTTCTTTTAAATCAGTTGGAAGCATTTAAATGAAATAATTCCAAGTATGTGTTTTTATGGGTTTTGCAGAAGATAAATAGTAGTGTATGTGATTGAAATTTGGGAAATGAATGAACTTGTAGTTATATTCATATGCAGCTTATAAATCCATGTGTATTTCTTACACAGATTGTGAAATTGTGAGGGATATATAACCTAAATGATGGCATTATGCACACATTTGTTTATCTTGCTGATAAATGGCCAAGTTCCTTAAACTTTATCCAACTGAAAGTATATCATTTACAGTGACATATATCAAAGTAAATAAACATATAAAATTACATATATCACTGCATGAACATATAAAGTGAAACATATCACTACATCTATTTCCTCCATTACAGAGAATGGTGACCATAATTAGTAATTATATGTTATGCATTTCAAATTGCTAAAGGTAGATTATCAATATTTTCACTACACAAAAATGGTATGAGAAGTGATGAAAATGCTAATTAGCTTTTTTAAATCATTCTACAATAGACACATGCAATGTGATGCAAAACATCACATTGTACTCCAAAAATATACAGTTATTATAGAACATTTAAAAATTAAGTACTTAGAAATGCAGCCTCTCAAAAAAAACTAACATGTAGTCATAGCAACAGCTAATATCAACAAACTATACCTTTCCCCCTCAGATATAAATTGTGTTCCAAATTTATATCATTTAATTTTTATTTCTGGTGTTTTATACTTCGTATTCATCTAAATGTGAAATATTTGACAAATATGCTTATTTTTCCAGGTTTATCTCCTTCTTACATATGGGTATGACTTAAGTACTTTAAAATAAAGGAGGAAATGTGCTTTTAAATGAATTAGTAGTTTTAGCTATGGTTATGCCCTTAAACATTAATATAAAATGAAAATCATTTGTAACCCATTAGATGGGTATCTTTGTGATTATTTGATCTGGAAGCTGAGACATTATTAACATCTTAAATACTTATGACTTGTCCCTGTAGTTTTTGAAAAGAAAAAGCCTGGATTCTAAGACCTGAATTCTTTTTTAGGTAAAATTCACATGAAATTAACCATTTGGAGGCAAACAAACAGAGGTGCTAGTACATTCACAATGTTGTGTAATCACTACCTCCAACTAGTTCCAGAACATTTGCTTTAGCTCTAATTGGAAGCCCAGTACCCATGAGGTAGTTATTGTCTTCCTCCCATCTCCCCAACAACTAGAAACCACTGTGATCTGTTTTCTGAGCACTAAACATTTTTTCTTCAATGCCTAGGTTCCTTATCATGTAGATTTGAGGCTATTGTTTCAGTATTTTAGCTACCTTGATAATTTGTAGCTTCATTTGTCTCATTTTGCTTTCTTAAAATCACATTTAAAAGACCTTTAAAGTAGCAACTTTTCATCCCTCTGCACTCATTGAAGTTTCTCAGCAAGAGGCGTTTGAATCTGCTATGAATCTTTATTGGTATTTGGGATGGAATGTCTGGGGAGGGCATGAGAGGTCCTTTGGAATAGTCAGTCCTAGTGGATTAGAGAAACTGGGACTCATAGCCTCCTAGTGTGTCACCTGTGTCCCCCTTTCCTCACACCAGCAGTGTAACTTCTTGGGCTTTTCCATGAGGACTGTTGTGCAGTCTTTTTCCCTCGAGCCTGTCACTCTCTCCATTTTGCTTGCAGGTTATGAAACATCTTAGCTACTATATAGATGCCTTGGAAACATATACCTTATCACTGGGTGGGCATTACATTATAGGTTACACAAAAATATTTCTATGCCAAAATTAGGAATGGAAGTTCTTATTAGCAGTCTATGCAAAAAGCAGTTTTCTCTCTTTTCTGGCCAAAGTATTTAAAAGATTACTAGTGTAATTTTGGTAAACCCTAGTCAAGTTGAGAACGGGAGGCAGTATGTCCTAAAGACATGGTAGAGAGCCTACCTGGGAGGGCCCTGCTCAGTTTTGCAGTCTACATGAGAGTTCCCAGATTTATGTACTACAGTTTACAGGAAGGGGTGTGGCACCACAGACTTCATGTCACTTCTACACAAACATTATTGGGCCCACCCTTTGATTGGGCCCCAAATTTCACCATCATAAGGTCTCCAGAGGTTCTTTTCGTATTCTGACTTATGACATTTTTCTCTCCAACTTTCCACCTCTCCTTGGCTGCAACATTATTGGCAGGTGGGCTTCCTGACCTAGTTGTCCTGTTTTTAAATTATTTATTTATTTCATTGGTAGCCAGTGTCCCAAGACTGGGAATTCACAAGTGACCTTTGTAGTGGGATGAAGGGAGAGTAAGATCTGGAATGTTTCATGAATCTATATGCTTTTGTCTGCCAGGCCACTCAAACCTTCTTATAGCATTCTACTTAAGGATTTGAAGTGCTGAAGCAAGCACATGTCTCTTTCTAAAAATTTACTTTAGAAAATTCTAATTACAATTTTCTTCATGTATGTAAAGCAAGAACTGTCTTTATGAAAATTCTGCCCTTTGGTCTGCCTTTTGGACTCATAGCAAAAAGCAAATCATTTTCTATACCAGTTAGTATAAAAATCTTACTTAGAGATCTGTTATAGTATTTGTAATTGAATAATCATTTATTAAGTGCCTACTGAGTTCCAGGGACTGTTGTAAGTGCTGGGACATAACAGTAAATGAAATAAAGTCCCTGCCTTGATGGAGCTGGAATTCTAATGGAGGAGTGAGATAATACAGAGAACAAAGACAGGAAAAAGAAAAATTAACAAAATTATCTTAATATGATAATGTCAGGTGATGATAAATAATGAAGATAAATAATCTAAGAGGGTGTTATCTTACCAAAGTTAGGAGGTGCTAAATAATACAGAGTAGTTCAATATAGTACCGTAGAATCTTGACTCAATTAAAATTTTGCTTTAAATCCCATTAACAAAAGAACAAAACTAAACTATGCTTGCTCATAGAGTTACAGATATTTGGATATGATCTGTATTTCTTCCTATTTCAGATCATGACCTGGCATCTGGAGATGGAAATTCTGTGACAGAAGAGATTATGAAAAAAGGTGCTGCTCGGTCTCCTGTAATGAAATGGTTGAATCCACGCTGACCCTGGGTGGGATTTTCAAGGGAAGGCTCTTAGTGATTGTTTAGCACCCAGCCAACATTTTAAGAGCTATCTACATTATAGCATATGGATGTGTAATTTTTGGAGATCAATTATAACTTGGGTGGATCCAGTCACAAGGAGTAGACTACTTAAAAACCCATTAAATGCGTATGGCCCATTCTGTAGGGGTGAGGGTGAGGCATTGTAATAGTTGGATCTTCCTTGTGGTAGCTTCAATAGAATTCAGTTATCATTATTATTATTTACTTTGGGAAAAGTCAAAACCCAAACCAGAAACCCACTGAGGAAGTGGGATGTTTGAAGCTTGTGGGATGTGAGCAACAACTTGAACTAAGGTCAGTTTCAAAGGGCTGCTAATGTAGTTCTCAGGTCCCCTGGACCTGAAGGACAGATCTAAGGCAGAGGGCAAACATACACTTCCATAGTGGTTTGAAGAATACCACCCATGCGATGGCACTAGGAAGTTCTCTGCCTACTTGGGGGTGGGGAGGGGTAGAGGTAAATATTTATATATTTTTATTAAAACGTGTTAGTGCAAGTCATCTTTCATACTCATGTTTATCACTCACTTGAGGAAATGAACTTAATTTCTTAAATGATTAGAAAGGTTTAGCTCTATAAGATTTTCAAACACTGCATTATATTATAATATTTACAGTAATAAACATAAGAGAATCTAAACAATTTTAGTAACTAGATTTACAAAATACCAAAAAATAAGCAATGGAGGGAATTTACCCAAAGAAAATGCCATGATTTAGATACTATTTAAATTTAAAGTAGAGAATAATTTTTAAGAGGTTGAGAAAAGAGTCACTTTCCAGCAGGAAACATACCAACTTTAAAATATGGTTTATTTTCATGTATTTTCCTTTCAAAATTGATTGATAAGTGGAATCAGGAGTATGCTTGGGAGTATCTTAGCCCAAATGGAACTGGTGTACTACATGCTATTAGGAAATATTTGCAGAAATATTTTATTTGGAATCAAGAATTTATTTAAGATTTATCTCAGTATTTACCTATATTTTATTCTTCAAGTTTGCCAACAGAGTTGTGAGTGTGTGTGTGGGAGGATCTTTGAATGTAAGCTGAATAAGCTGTTAGGTTCTGTTTTAAAAGGTCAAATTTATTACCGCTCAATAAAAAATAAGACACAGCTATTCTATGTGTACTGATTTCTTTAAATTGTTCAGCCTTATAGCCCAGTGAATAAGAACTCTTTCATGCACATTAAGGGACGAGCATTTCAATTGAGTTTCCTGCCTCAGACAAGCATTTGTTAATATAAAGGGCCAGAATATTAGTTTCTTTGCTTCATATATTTGGTCTACTCATTCCTTAAATCTTCCTAAAAAATTGATACTTATGTATTCATCCATTTAGAGACTCCTTAAAATCTGTTTTAATTTTTTTATTACTTTTTAAAACAGCAACAAAAATAAATACTTCTTCTGGAGTCATAGGCTGGCTATAGAGCTAAATTTTGAAATGATTGTTTGTAGGTCACTGCGTGATGACTTTGGTGATTCATTCATACAACATCAAGATTCTAAACTTGTTTTCTGTCTCTGGATTTTAATTTTTTTGGAGGGGGTACTGGGAATTGAACACAGGACCTACATACTAAACTAACTCTCAAGCCCTTCCTTCTCTTCCTTTCTCCCTTCCCCTCCCCTCCCCCTCCTCTCCCTCTCCCTATCTCTTCCTCTTTTCCTTCTCCTCCTCCTCTTTCTTCTCCTCCTCCTCCTTCTACTCCTTCTCTTCCTCCTTCTTCTCCTTCTTCCTCTCCTCTTCTTTCTTTGTTTCTTTGTTTCTTTCTTCTTTCTTTCTTTCTTTGTTTCTTTCTTTCTTTGTTTCTTTCTTTCTTTGTTTCTTTCTTTCTTTCTTTCTGTTTTCCTTTCTTCATAGGGTCTTTCTTATTATAAAGAGAATAAAACATAATAAAATAACATAGATAAAAACAAAGCAAAGTGAAAACAATAAAAATGATATAAGGTTTCAAAACAATATGACAGGAATTAACAGCAGTCGTTTGATATTGCATATTGTTATCTTCAATGAAGTTGCTAAGATTACCAGATGTAAGAGTGCAGGATTGATCAAACTATTAAAGAGAATAAAAATATTTTTAAAATATTAGAAATGATACA